TTATGACTCTCTCATACTTGTATTTTCCGTTACTGGAGTTGATGAGACGACATGAATAACATCATCTGCAAACTGTGTCACAATTGTGTCATTAAACTCTGGTTGAGGAAGGTCTTTTCCACATAATGTTAAACGAAGGGGGACTGAGAAAAGGCCCTTGTGGGACACCAGCCGTCGGTATAAAGGTTCTGTCGACTTCCCATGAAAGGTGGAATGATTTTTCTTTGATTTAAGAAATTATAAATCACTCTGAGAAAAGTCCAGTTATGGTCTGGTAGGTCAATGAGTTTGTATTAAGGCCATCATGCCATAAGCTATCAAAAGTTTTATGACATCTCTGGTGGCAATTAAGGGAAAGATTGCCTGCTGTTTTAGACTTGCTACAGTGTCCAAAAATGACATTTATTGCATGACTGGTATTTCCTATGTGTTTAAACCCAAATTGTTTTTCAGTAAACAAGTGATTAAACTCCATATAGTAATTCAATCTGTTGGAAATGACTTTCTCAAGAACTTTTCCAGTGACTTCAAGTAAAGATATAGGTCTTTAGTTCCCAGGTTGGTGGATGTCTTTATTGGGCTTACCAAGAAAGATCATCGTAGCAGTCTTAAAAAAACTGGAAAATGTCCTGGGGCCCAAGATGGCATTAAATTTATTTACCAAGGACTGTTTGCAATTTTCTAGGTAGGTACTTTATTGTTTCATTGTTATTCCAGAGAGGCCAGGGGTCTATTTCTCATTTTCCAATAACCTGACTTATCTCTAGAAATGTAATAGGTTATAAGGGGGTGGGCTTTCTTCAAGATTTTGAAGTATCGATGGTAGGTAGTGATTGTAGATCATCCAAGTTCTCATCTCTCCATCATTTTACTAACTGAAAATGATTATTATTAAATTGACGACTGTTATTGTGAGAGAGAATTTTCTCCCATACATTCACCTTTCAAATTAGCCTGGTCATGTGGATCGTCAAGTTTAATTTCAACATCTTCATCATCCTCATCAGTGAAGGGTTTATGAACTAGGTAGTTAGGAGCCTTGTGCTTTCCCCAAAAAAAAAGTTGTCGGATCTTACTCCAAAATTTTGCTGGTTCACTTTTTTATATTGATTAGCTTAAAGAACTAGAAATTTCCCATATGTCTCGTTTGTGTTGACAATCATGTTAATTAATTCTTGCCTTAATCGGTGCAGTGTAGCTGTGGTGGTTGTCGCGTTTGAAGATGCCTTCGACTTCTGCTTGATAATTTTTTTAAAGTGTCTCTAATTTCTCTAGTAGGTTTATATTTGTTGGTATATCTTTGTGGAAGCTAATTGACAAGTTGCATTAGTAGCTTTCAATTATTCGATTGTGCAGGGGGCCTGATTGCATCATAATTGCATTTGGAAGGTAGATTTTCCAAAGACACAATTTCATCCTCACCCAGATATGCCCTGAAGGGGTCAAATCCTAGGGTGTTTTAAAAATTGGGTTTAGGAGTTACAGGTATTCTAAATGGAGAAGTTTGTAGTTGTATTAACAGGATATGGTCAGATCCTTCAATTTCACCAGGAGATTACGACAGTGAAAGAAGTCACAGTCTCTGTTTGTCAGTACAATATCTGGTGTTCCCGGTGAGGTCCCAATGTACGATTTGAGAAAGGGCCTTGAAATGACAAGTTTCTAGCTGTCTGATATTAAAGGTTGTTTTCCTTTTAGTCACCCAGTGGAATACCAGTCCCTGTTAAGAGGGCAGGGTGATGAGCATTAAAAACTCCAGCTAGAATTTTTGGAATATTTTTGCTTAATATCTATGTAGAGGAATTGACTTTATATATGGCTGTCTCGGGGGGAAAATATCCAGTTCCTATCACTAGTTGTCCATGCGACTTGTTGTTTTTATTGCAAGAAAGTTGTCTTCATCAACATGAATATTTTTAAATGTATAGCCTAATTTAACCAGGATGGCTACACCACTAAACGGTCCCCTCGATTTCTCCACAGTACAGTATCCACGTAATTTTAATATGTTGATCAACTCTTGCAGCTGTCTCGTTAAAAGTTATAACATCGGGATTGTGTTATGTAGTTTCAACCTCAAGAAGGTAACGGTTATTAAAGAAATGTTGAACATTAAGTTGGAAAATTGTAATCCCCATTATTTCTTTTCTTCGCTTCGTACACTGCGTTCTGAACGCCTGCAAGTAATGTCATGTGTTGTATCTACACTATTCCCCGCTGGGCTCGTCAAGGGGAAGAGGGAACTTTTGCGTGGATGCTTGTGTATTAAAAATGCCCTCATCTTCACTAGGCAGTAAAATTAACAGATTCATTAGAATCGTTAGAGTCGTTAGAGTCATCATCATAAAACTGAGGTATGCTTTTCTCCAGTTTCAGGAAGCAGAGGCCCCGTGAGAGTTAATGGGGGACGTGTAGGCTCCAAGTGAATATTAGATAGGCAAGGTGAGTTACCTTGGGAAAGTTCCTGTTCAACAGGATCAGTACAATAGCGAGAGAGTAGGCACACTTTCTGGGGCATTGTTATGTTCAGGTGTTGACTTATCGGGTTTGGAGGAGTTTTACAACCCGGGTTTGCGGGAGGGCGATCCCTGGGCCAGGGATGACTTAGGCTTATTTTTAGGGTGTAGATATGGAAAATACTTTTTTGTTATGAGAAGGCTGGGTCATAATGGCCTTCACATTTTTTAGGGGTAATGATGGGAGTGATCCCATAAGCCTTTAAACAGATCATTTAAAACACGAGAGCAGAGTTGAAAGTCACCACTTGCTGTGTCTTTGGCCCCCAAGTACATTAGTTTTGCCTTCGTTATATCCCGTCTGTGGATACGTGAGACATTGAGATGCGACTGAACCTTTTGTTGTTGTGTTGTTGTAAGGAGGGTTAGATTGGGGCACTCCAAGAGGGGCAGAATTCCAAACATTGGAAACCATTGGTAGAGACCTGAGGAGTCCCACTTGATCCAGGGCAGAGTGGGAAAGGAAGTTTGGGACATGGTTGGCGGGGCCTGGGGAGGGTCTTCTTAGAAGTGGATAGTTTCTTGGCGTCAAGAATTTTCTGCATTTCCTTTTTTCTTTCAGGACAAATAGCAGAAACGCATGATGGTTTCCATTACAGAGGACACATTTAGGTGAATTTTTATTGGTACAATCACGATAGGAATGTTGGCCAGAGCAAATGCTACAAATTTGCCCTTGTATACTGCATTTGTTGTTGTTATGACCAAAGGCATAACACTTGAACATTGTGGTCACACTGACAAAACAAATCAAGAGAAAATTTTTGGTTCAGATGTACATCTGGTACTGAAACATTTGAAGCCATTTTGACCACAAGTTTGGCCTCCTAGGTGTCTCGGGTTTTTAATTTTAAGTTTCCTTATTGTTGTTGGAATTCGAGAATTTATGTGCTTTACAGCTCTAAGGTCAGAATTCTCGGTATTAAAGTTATCAAACAATTCATTAACAGTGCTGTGTTTCATAAAAACTGTTGATTCTGGCCACAAACACAGTCCTCTGAGCTTGATAGCTGTCAGGTGGGAACTGGGGTAACACCAGAAGTCTTCAGTTTATCCAAGAAAATCATGCTTTAGTAGTTGAAAGTAACTCTTCTTCTGAAGAGAGGAGAAAATACTGCTCCAGCGTGGGTTTGAAAAAACATCCACTGGAGCAACAGTTGAGTTGGAGCAAATACATTTGAGAATGTCTTTCGTGGACATTTGATTTCCATCAATGCGTAATCTTACACGAATCCTCGCCATGATGCCTAGGAAGGTGCATCTGGCAGAGGAGTTGCTTAACAAAAAGGTATCTTTCCTTAATGTTAGCCTAACATCCTATTTCAGCTGACTTATGAAGGTCAGCCCCTAAGATAGCCTACCCTCGAGTAGTGAGGGGAAAGGGCCCAAGGCAAAGAGTTAGTTTAATATGTTTATTATGCACCCCATACCCATCCTGTGGGCGGTAGTCACCACATACCCATCCTGTGGGCGGTAGTCAAAAGATTACAGAGGTACATAATTGGTCCAGGGACTGGACTCCAAAGTTTTGATAGCTGAGCAAGTTACAGAGGCAATGAACTCACAATTTACAAAGGTAATGAACTCACAATTTACAAAGGTAATGAACTCACAATTTACAAAGGTAATGAATTCCAGGTAAGTCTGGTCACAATCATGACAAGTTACAAAGGTATTTACAGATTACAGAGGTACGTAATGGGTCCAGGGACTGGGCCCCCAAAGTTTTGATAGCTGAACTAGGTACAAAGGCAATGAGCTCACAAGTTACAAAGGTAATGAATTCTGTAGAATGGTTACTTACGTTTATACTTTGGCTACAATCATGAACAAATTATAGAGTAATGAGCAAAGATCGGCTGGATTTTAAAAAACCACACGGGCTACCAGATGGTCAAAATGCCTTGTGTTAACTCGCCAAAGCGAAGTTGCCGAAAAATAAGAAGATAGGACAGTCAGAAGGATAGCAATGTATGTAGTGTGTTAAGTGTGTGGGCCAGTGTTGATGTATGGGTGAGGGGAGGATGGGGATGAGAGGGGTGAACAAGCAAGCAAGTCACCGCCTTACCCTCTTGATGGGATGGGGCTCGAAGTGACTGCAAGCAAGTCTCCTCTCAGCTCTGGTGAAGAACTACTCAGGATAACCCAAGTAAATTCTCGAGCAACAGTGTTCAGAGTTGCTCAGCTGACGAGCAGGAACGACGACGTCTTCTCTCCACGGTGGCTGGGCTGCAACTCTCTGTCTTGTCATATCATAGATGGCAACACTCAACACGCCTTTGTTTACATCAGAACAGCTGTGTTTTCCCGCTACTAACTGTCAGGATTTGCCTTCCATGAATCCGTGCTGGTTGTCGTTTATAATCTTGTTCCGTTCCAGGTGTTCCACCACTCTCCTCCTGATAATCTTCTCCATAATTTTGCATACTATACACGTCAGTGACACAGGTCTATAGTTTAGTGCCTCTTTTCTGTCTCCTTTTTTAAAAATGGGAACTACATTTGCAGTCTTCCATACCTCAGGTAGTTGCCCAGTTTCCAGGGACGTGCTGAAGATTGTGGTTAATGGCACACACAGTATATCTGCTCCCTCTCTGAGGACCCACGGAGAGATGTTGTCTGGTCCCATCGCCTTTGAGGTATCAAGGTCACTTAGCAGTTTCTTCAACTCCTCCTCAGTTGTGTGCATATCATCCAGCACTTGTTTGTGTCCCCCTCTGTCCTGTCTTCTGTATGTGTGTGTGTGTGTGTGTGTGTACTCACCTAGTTGTGGTTGCAGGGGTGGAGTCACAGCTCCTGGCCCTGATTCTTCACTCATCTCTACTAGGTCACTCTCCCTATTCCATGAGTTTGATCATATCTCATCTTAAAGCTATGTATGGATCCTGCCTCCACTACATCACTCTCCAGACTATTCCACTTCCTGACGACTCTATGACTGAAGAAATACTTCCTAACATCCCTGTGACTCATCTGAGTCTTCAACTTCCAATTGTGACCTTGTTACTGTGACCCCTTGTTACCGTGTCCCCTTGTTACTGTGTCCCCTTGTTACTGTGTCCCCTTGCTACTGTGTCACCTTGTTACTGTGTCGCCTTGTTACTGTGTCACCTTGCTACTGTGTCACCTTGTTACTGTGTCGCCTTGTTACTGTGTCACCTTGCTACTGTGTCACCTTGTTACTGTGTCACCTTGTTACTGTGTCCCCTTGCTACTGTGTCCCCTTGCTACTGTGTCACCTTGCTACTGTGTCCCCTTGTTACTGTGTCACCTTGTTACTGTGTCACCTTGCTACTGTGTCACCTTGCTACTGTGTCACCTTGTTACTGTGTCACCTTGTTACTGTGTCACCTTGTTACTGTGTCCCCTTGCTACTGTGTCACCTTGCTACTGTGTCCCCTTGTTACTGTGTCACCTTGTTACTGTGTCACCTTGCTACTGTGTCACCTTGCTACTGTGTCACCTTGTTACTGTGTCCCCTTGTTACTGTGTCCCCTTGCTACTGTGTCCCCTTGTTACTGTGTCACCTTGTTACTGTGTCCCCTTGTTACTGTGACCCCTTGCTACTGTGTCACCTTGTTACTGTGTCACCTTGCTACTGTGTCACCTTGTTGCTGTGTCACCTTGTTACTGTGTCACCTTGTTACTGTGTCACCTTGTTACTGTGTCACCTTGTTACTGTGTCACCTTGTTACTGTGTCACCTTGTTACTGTGTCACCTTGCTACTGTGTCACCTTGCTACTGTGTCCCCTTGTTACTGTGTCACCTTGTTACTGTGTCACCTTGTTACTGTGTCACCTTGCTACTGTGTCACCTTGCTACTGTGTCACCTTGTTACTGTGTCACCTTGTTACTGTGTCACCTTGCTACTGTGTCCCCTTGCTACTGTGTCCCCTTGTTACTGTGTCACCTTGTTACTGGTCACCTTGCTAACTGTGTCACCTTGCTACTGTGTCACCTTGTTACTGTGTCCCCTTGTTACTGTGTCCCCTTGCTACTGTGTCCCCTTGTTACTGTGTCACCTTGTTACTGTGTCCCCTTGTTACTGTGACCCCTTGCTACTGTGTCACCTTGTTACTGTGTCACATTGCTACTGTGTCACCTTGTTACTGTGTCACCTTGTTACTGTGTCACCTTGTTACTGTGTCACCTTGTTACTGTGTCACCTTGTTACTGTGTCCCCTTGTTACTGTGTCCCCTTGCTACTGTGTCCCCTTGTTACTGTGTCACCTTGTTACTGTGTCCCCTTGCTACTGTGACCCCTTGCTACTGTGTCACCTTGTTACTGTGTCACCTTGTTACTGTGTCACCTTGTTACTGTGTCACCTTGTTACTGTGTCACCTTGTTACTGTGTCACCTTGTTACTGTGTCACCTTGTTACTGTGTCACCTTGCTACTGTGTCACCTTGTTACTGTGTCACCTTGTTACTGTGTCACCTTGCTACTGTGTCACCTTGTTACTGTGTCACCTTGTTACTGTGTCACCTTTCTGTGTCACCTTGTTACTGTGTCCCCTTGTTACTGTGTCCCCTTGTTACTGTGTCACCTTGTTACTGTGTCCCCTTGTTACTGTGACCCCTTGCTACTGTGTCCCCTTGTTACTGTGTCCCCTTGTTACTGTGTCACCTTGCTACTGTGTCACCTTGTTACTGTGTCACCTTGCTACTGTGTCCCCTTGCTACTGTGTCCCCTTGCTACTGTGTCCCCTTGCTACTGTGTCCCCTTGCTACTGTGACCCCTTGCTACTGTGTCCCCTTGCTACTGTGTCCCCTTGTTACTGTGTCACCTTGCTACTGTGTCCCCTTGTTACTGTGTCCCCTTGCTACTGTGACCCCTTGCTACTGTGTCCCCTTGCTACTGTGTCCCCTTGCTACTGTGACCCCTTGCTACTGTGTCACCTTGCTACTGTGTCACCTTGTTACTGTGTCCCCTTGTTACTGTGTCACCTTGTTACTGTGTCACCTTGTTACTGTGTCCCCTTGTTACTGTGTCCCCTTGTTACTGTGACCCCTTGCTACTGTGTCCCCTTGTTACTGTGTCACCTTGTTACTGTGTCCCCTTGTTACTGTGACCCCTTGCTACTGTGTCCCCTTGCTACTGTGCTACTGTGTCACCTTGTTACTGTGTCCCCTTGTTACTGTGTCCCCTTGCTACTGTGTCCCCTTGCTACTGTGACCCCTTGCTACTGTGTCACCTTGCTACTGTGTCCCCTTGTTACTGTGTCACCTTGTTACTGTGTCACCTTGCTACTGTGTCACCTTGTTACTGTGTCACCTTGTTACTGTGACCCCTTGCTACTGTGACCCCTTGCTACTGTGTCCCCTTGCTACTGTGTCACCTTGCTACTGTGTCCCCTTGTTACTGTGTCACCTTGTTACTGTGTCACCTTGTTACTGTGTCACCTTGTTACTGTGTCCCCTTGTTACTGTGTCCCCTTGTTACTGTGTCACCTTGTTACTGTGTCCCCTTGTTACTGTGTCCCCTTGCTACTGTGTCCCCTTGCTACTGTGACCCCTTGCTACTGTGTCACCTTGCTACTGTGTCCCCTTGTTACTGTGTCCCCTTGTTACTGTGTCACCTTGTTACTGTGTCACCTTGTTACTGTGACCCCTTGCTACTGTGTCCCCTTGCTACTGTGTCCCCTTGCTACTGTGTCCCCTTGTTACTGTGTCACCTTGTTACTGTGTCACCTTGTTACTGTGTCACCTTGTTACTGTGACCCCTTGCTACTGTGTCACCTTGCTACTGTGTCCCCTTGTTACTGTGTCACCTTGTTACTGTGTCACCTTGTTACTGTGTCACCTTGTTACTGTGACCCCTTGCTACTGTGTCACCTTGCTACTGTGTCCCCTTGTTACTGTGTCACCTTGTTACTGTGTCACCTTGTTACTGTGTCACCTTGTTACTGTGTCCCCTTGCTACTGTGTCCCCTTGCTACTGTGTCACCTTGCTACTGTGTCACCTTGTTACTGTGTCACCTTGTTACTGTGTCCCCTTGTTACTGTGTCACCTTGTTACTGTGTCCCCTTGCTACTGTGTCCCCTTGCTACTGTGTCACCTTGCTACTGTGTCACCTTGTTACTGTGTCACCTTGTTACTGTGTCCCCTTGCTACTGTGTCCCCTTGCTACTGTGTCCCCTTGTTACTGTGTCACCTTGTTACTGTGTCCCCTTGCTACTGTGTCACCTTGTTACTGTGTCACCTTGTTACTGTGTCCCCTTGTTACTGTGTCCCCTTGTTACTGTGTCACCTTGTTACTGTGTCCCCTTGCTACTGTGCTACTGTGTCACCTTGTTACTGTGTCCCCTTGTTACTGTGTCCCCTTGTTACTGTGTCACCTTGTTACTGTGTCCCCTTGCTACTGTGTCACCTTGTTACTGTGTCCCCTTGCTACTGTGTCACCTTGTTACTGTGTCCCCTTGTTACTGTGTCACCTTGTTACTGTGTCCCTTTGCTACTGTGTCACCTTGTTACTGTGTCACCTTGTTACTGTGTCACCTTGTTACTGTGTCCCCTTGTTACTGTGTCCCCTTGTTACTGTGTCACCTTGTTACTGTGTCCCCTTGCTACTGTGTCACCTTGTTACTGTGTCACCTTGTTACTGTGTCACCTTGTTACTGTGTCCCCTTGTTACTGTGTCCCCTTGTTACTGTGTCCCTTGTTACTGTGTCCCCTTTACTGTGTCCCCTTGTTACTGTGTCCCCTTGTTACTGTGTCCCCTTGTTACTGTGTCCCCTTGTTACTGTCCTTGTACTGTGTCCCCTTGTTACTGTGTCCCCTTGTTACTGTGTCCCCTTGCTACTGTGTCCCCTTGTTACTGTGTCCCCTTGTTACTGTGTCCCCTTGTTACTGTGTCCCCTTGTTACTGTGTCCCCTTGTTACTGTGTCACCTTGTTACTGTGTCCCCTTGTTACTGTGTCCCCTTGTTACTGTGTCACCTTGTTACTGTGTCCCCTTGTTACTGTGTCCCCTTGTTACTGTGTCCCCTTGTTACTGTGTCCCTTGTTACTGTGTCCCCTTGTTACTGTGTCCCCTTGTTACTGTGTCCCTTGTTACTGTGTCACCTTGTTACTGTGTCCCCTTGTTACTGTGGTCCCCTTGTTACTGTGTCACCTTGTTACTGTGTCCCCTTGTTACTGTGTCCCCTTGCTACTGTGTCCCCTTGTTACTGTGTCCCCTTGTTACTGTGTCCCCTTGCTACTGTGTCCCCTTGTTACTGTGTCCCCTTGTTACTGTGTCACCTTGTTACTGTGTCCCCTTGCTACTGTGTCCCCTTGCTACTGTGTCCCCTTGTTACTGTGTCCCCTTGTTACTGTGTCACCTTGTTACTGTGTCCCCTTGCTACTGTGTCACCTTGCTACTGTGTCACCTTGTTACTGTGTCACCTTGTTACTGTGTCCCCTTGCTACTGTGTCACCTTGTTACTGTGTCACCTTGTTACTGTGTCACCTTGTTACTGTGTCCCCTTGCTACTGTGTCCCCTTGTTACTGTGTCCCCTTGTTACTGTGTCCCCTTGTTACTGTGTCACCTTGTTACTGTGTCACCTTGTTACTGTGTCACCTTGTTACTGTGTCACCTTGCTACTGTGTCACCTTGTTACTGTGTCCCCTTGTTACTGTGTCCCCTTGTTACTGTGTCACCTTGTTACTGTGTCACCTTGTTACTGTGTCACCTTGTTACTGTGTCACCTTGTTACTGTGTCACCTTGTTACTGTGTCACCTTGTTACTGTGTCCCCTTGTTACTGTGTCCCGTCTCTGGAACATCCTGTCTATCTCTGGATAGACAGTGTGTGTACTATCTTAATTCCAGTATAATTCTTGATAAATAGTAATATATTTTTTCTATTTTTTCCTAGTAAGAACAAGGAGTTTTTCCCTGGTAATACTAATAACAATAATAATTATTTTTTCCTAGTAAAAACAAGGATATATTTTCTCGAAGTTGATGTTCTTTTCCCAGGATGAACAGGATAAATATTGGCGGGAAGTGAGGAGAGGAAATATTGGGTTAGCAAGCCAGAGTAACCCAGAAAAGCCAATCATTGTGGCTTATCCCTCTTGGGTTATTTAATCTTCTTCCTCAGGATGTGACTCATAAGTTGGATAATTAATTTTGGCGGAAAATTCAAAGATTTAAATTTTTGCGGGCATTGTGAATGCTGTTTTTTTTTTCCCCCAGAATGAACAACTATGAAGTCTTGGTTGGAATCAAAGCATTTTCTTTTCCCAGGATGAACAAATATGTAACCACCTTTTTGGCGGGAATTAGTCTGTTTTCCCAGGATGAACAATTTTCAGTGGGAATTGAGTCCTTTTCTTTTTCTAGAATGAACAACTATATAAAAAAAAATTTGGCGGGTACTTATAATCATTTTCCCTTTCCCAGGATGAACAACCGTGAAGACACAAGCAATGGCGGGAAAAGTGAGAAAAACGACGCTTTTGGCGGGAAATACGAAGACAATAATCTAGGGAAGAAGTGTGGGTGGGGGAGTGGACCGGAGGCCGCCCATCACGCCCACTTCTTGCGGGCGGTCCTGGACCTTCTGGTGGAGAAGGCTGTGTTTTCCCGGGCACTGACAGGTCATCCAAGGTGACCTGCGCTTGTTATTACCCGATCAATAATGTCCTCCTGTCTGAACACTTGTCCTCCTGTCTGAACACTTGTTTCTCCTGTCTGAACACTTGTCCTCCTGTCTGAACACTTGTTTCTCTGTCTGAACACTTGTTCTCCTGTCTGAACACTTGTCCTCCTGTCTGAACACTTGTCCTCCTGTCTGAACACTTTTCTCCTGTCTGAACACTTGTCCTCCTGTCTGAACACTTGTTCTCCTGTCTGAACACTTGTCCTCCTGTCTGAACACTTGTCCTCCTGTCTGAACACTTGTCCTCCTGTCTGAACACTTGTTCTCCTGTCTGAACACTTGTCCTCCTGTCTGAACACTTGTTCTCCTGTCTGAACACTTGTTCTCCTGTCTGAACACTTGTCCTCCTGTCTGAACACTTGTCCTCCTGTCTGAACACTTGTCCTCCTGTCAGAACACTTGTTCTCCTGTCAGAACACTTGTTCTCCTGTCTGAACACTTGTTCTCCTGTCTGAACACTTGTTCTCCTGTCTGAACACTTGTTCTCCTGTCTGAACACTTGTTCTCCTGTCTGAACACTTGTTCTCCTGTCTGAACACATGCTCTGTCTAAACACATGTTCTGTCTAAACACATGCTGTCTAAACACATGTTCTGTCTAAACACATGCTGTCTAATCACATGTTCTGTCTAAACACATGTTCTGTCTAAACACATGCTGTCTAAACACATGCTCTGTCTAAACACATGTTCTGTCTAAACACATGTTCTGTCTAAACACATGCTGTCTAAACACATGCTCTGTCTAAACACATGCTGTCTAAACACATGCTGTCTAAACACATGCTCTGTCTAAACACATGTTCTGTCTAAACACATGCTGTCTAAACACATGCTGTCTAAACACATGCTCTGTCTAAACACATGTATTCATATAATTGTGGTTGCAGGGGTTGAGACATAGCTCTTGGCCCCGCCTCTTCACTGACCGCTACTAGGTCCTCTCACTGCTCCATGAACTTTATCATACCTCTTCTTAAAGCTATGTATGGATCCTGCCTGTGTGTATCAGCGCCCAGAGACACTAAAGGATTGATCCGCCTCCCTGGACAGGTGGTGGAGTGGGTTGAACCATCTGAGCTGCAGCAGCGCCTCCAGCTGGACCTAGGTGATGATGGTGTGACCCAAGGTGACCTCCTGCGTCACCTGGACCAGGTGGTCAGGTACAGCGTCAAGACAGGTCACCCATACTTCATCAACCAGCTCTTCTCCAGGTGAGTCCTGCTGGTTTACCGCTTTTGCAAGATAAAATCACCAAGGTGAGACATGATTACAACGTAAAAGATACTTCAAGAAGCCTGTTTTTAGCATCAGGGAAGCTATGAAGTTTAAGAGTCCATACACAGTTATACGAATAGGTATGACATTGTAAATGAGGCCAAGGATGTACTCACCTATATGTGGTTGGAGGGGTCGAGCCACGGCTCCTGGCTCCTGACATTCCCCCGAGGATCAAACTCACTAAACCAGTACTGTACCCCTGAGTCATTGAGAAGTAGTGGAGGGGCCAGGAGCTGTGAATCGACCCCCTGTAGTCACAATTAAGCGAGGGCAAGTCTTCCTCAAGCCTGACTGATGAGGTCCCTTAATTAAGTTCTGGCCAGAGATGCTAAAACTATCGAGAGTCGACCTTATCCTCTCTCTCTCTGCTGTCGTGACAGCAGCGTTAATGTGTCAGTAGCAGTAGCGGCAGTAGCAGCGGCAGTAGTAGCAGCAGTAGTAGCAGCAGCAGCAGCAGTAGTAGCAGTAGCAGCAGCAGCAGCAGCAGCAGCAGCAGTAGCAGCAGCAGCAGCAGCAGCAGCAGCAGCAGCAGTAGCAGTAGCAGCAGCAGGCACCAACAGCAGCAGCCCGCAGCACCCGCAAGCAGCACAGCACAGCAGCAACAGCAGCACCAGCACAGCAGCCAGCAGCAGCAGCACCACAGCGCCCAGCAGCAGCAGGCACAGCACCCCAGCAGCAGCACCAGCACCAGCAGCAGCAGCAGCACCCGCACCGCACAGCCACAGCACCCAGCAGCAACAGCAGCAGCACCAGCAGCGCAGCAGCAACGCGCAGCAGCACCAGCAGCAGCAGCGCACCAGACCAGCAGCACCAGCAGCACCAGAACAGCAGCAGCAGCCAGCATCAGCACAGCAGCAGCAGCACCAGCGCAGCACACCAGCAGCAGCACCAGCAGCCAGCAACAGCAGCAGCACAGCATCAGCAGGCACCAGCAGCAGCCCAGCAGCACCAGCAGCAGCAGCACAGACCACCAGCACCAGCACAGCCATCAGCAAACCCGCAGCAGCACCAGCAGCAGCAGCAGCACCAGCATCAACAGCAAGCAGCCCAAGCAAGCAGCACAGCAGCAGCAGCAGCAGCAGCAGCAGCAGCAGCACCAGCACAGCAGCAGCACCAGCATCAGCAGCAGCACCAGCAGCACCAGGCAGCAGCACCAGCAGCAGCAGCCACAAGCACGCACAGCAGCACCACAGCATCAGCAGCAGACAAAGCAGCAGCACAGCAGCACCAGCAGCAGCACCGCAGCAGCAGCACCACAGCAGCACCAGCAGCAGCACCAGCATCAGCAGCAGCACCACAGCACAGCAGCACCAGCAGCACAGCGCAGCAGCCCGCAGCAGCACAGCACAGCAGCACGAGCAGACACCCGCAGCAGCAGCACCAGCAGCACCAGCAGCAGCACAGCACCAGCACAGCAACCACAGCAGCAGCAGCAGCAGCACCAGCAGCACCAGCAGCAGCACCAGCAGCCCCGCAGCAACAGCAGCAGCAGCACCAGCATCAGCAGCAGCACCAGCAGCACCAGCAGCAGCAGCAGCAGCACCAGCAGCACCAGCAGCACCAGCACCAGCAGCACCAGCAGCAGCACCAGCAGCAGCACCAGCAGCAGCAGCACCAGCAGCAGCACCAGCAGCAGCATCAGCAGCAGCACCAGCAGCACCAGCATCAGCACCAGCAGCACCAGCAGCACCAGCAGCAGCAGCAGCAGCCAGCAGCAGCACCAGCAGCACCAGCACAGCAGCAGCACCAGCAGCACCAGCAGCAGTCAGCAGCAGCAGCACAGCAAGCACCAGCAGCACCAGCAGCAGCAGCCAGCAGCACCAGCAGCACAGCACCAGCAGCAGCAGCACAGCACCAGCAGCAGCAGCAGCAAGCACAGCAGCAGCAACAGCAGCAGCACCAGCAGCACAGCAAACAGCAGCAGCAGCAGCAGCACCAGCAAGCAGCACACCCGGCAGCACCAGCAGCACCAGCAGCACCAGCAGAGCCCGCAGCAGCAGCAGCAGCATCAGCAGCAAACACCAGCACAGCAGCAGCAGCACGCGCACAGCACCAGCAGCAGCAGCAGCAAGCAGCAGCAGCAGCAGCATGCAGCATCGCAGCAGCCAAACCCGCAGCAGCAGCAGCAGCAGCACCAGCAGCAGCAGCCCAGCAGCACAGCAGCACAGCAGCACCAGCACCAGCATGCAGCAGCAGCAGCAGCAGCAGCAGCACCAGCAGCACACCAGCAGCAGCACCAGCAAGCAGCACAGCAGCAGCAGACAGCAAGCACCAGCAGCACCAGCAGCAGCAGCACAGCAGCAGCACCAGCAGCACCAGCACACAGCAGCAGCAGCAAGCACCACCAGCACCAGCAGCAGCACAGCACACACCACAGCAGCAGCACCCGCAGCAGCAGCACCAGCAGCAGCAGCAGCTAACACGGAAGTACCTCTCCACAGCAGGCGGAGTCTTGGCCCGACGCACAGCGAGCAGCACCAACCTAACAGGCAGCAGCACCAAGTGCACGCAGCTCCACCTAGAGTCAAGGGAAGGCACTCCACAACAGTCACAGGCACCCACACACTGCACAGGTCACCACACACGCACACAGGCAGACACACACACACAGTCACTCAAAACAGCACAAGGCACCAACACTGCACAAGGCACACACAAACCAGCACAGGCACACCAGCACATGTCAAAAGTGTTCACTACTCACACTGTACACAAGTGGCACTCTACAACACTGTCACAAGTGCACCTACAACCATGTACAACAGTGTTCACGCAACAACACTTACACAAGTGCACTCCTACAACACTGTCACAAGGTCACTCCTACAACACTGTCACAAGTGTTCACTCCCACAACACTGTACCAAGTGGGTTCACTCCTACAACATGTACCAAGTGTTCACTTACAAATGTACACAATGTTCACTCCTACAACACTGTACACAAGTGTTCACATCCTACAACAACATGTACACAAGTGTTCACTCCTACCAAACTGTACACAAGTGTTCACTCTACAACACTGTACACAAGTTTCACTCCTACAACACAGTACACAATGTTCACTACTACAACCTGTACACAAGTGTTCACTCCTACAACACTGTACACAAGTGTTCACTCCTACAACACTTAACAAGTGTTCACTACAACTGTTTCCAAGTGTCACTCCTACAACACTGTACACAAGTGTTCACTCCTACAACACTGTACACAAGTGTTCACTTACAACATGTACACAAGTGTTCACTCCTCACACTGTACACAGTGTTCACTCTACAACACTGTACACAAGTGTTCACTACTACAACACTGTACACAAGTGTTCACTACAACACTGTACAAAAAGTGTTCACTACTACAACACTGTACACAAGTGTTCACTACTACAACACTGTACACAGTGTTCACTACTACAACACGTACACAAGTGTTCACATCCTACAACACTGTACACAAGTGTTCACTACTCAACACGTTACACAAGTGTTCACTCTACACACTGTACACAGGTTCATACTACAAATGTACACAAGTGTTCACTACACATTGTACACAAGTGTTCACTCTCAACACTGTACACAAGTGTTCACTCTACAACACTGTACACAAGTGTTCACTACTACAACACTGTACACAAGTGTTCACTACTACAACACTATACACAAGTGTTCCTCCTACAACACTGTACACAAGTGTTTCACTCCTACAACATGTACACAAGTGTTCACTACTACAACACTGTACACAAGTGTTCACTCTACAACACTATACACAAGTGTTCACTACTAAACACTATACACAAGTGTTCACTACTACAACACTGTACACAAGTGTTCACTACTACACACTGTACACAAGTGTTCACTCTACAACACTGTACACAAGTGTTCACTCCCACAACACTGTACACAAGTGTTCACTCCTACAACACTGTACACAAGTGTATACTCACATACCTACAACACTGTACACAAGTGTTCACTACTACAACACTATACACAAGTGTTCACTCCTACAACACTGTACACAAGTGTTCACTCCTACAAACCTGTACACAAGTGTTCACTAATACAACACTGTACACAATGTTCACTCCTACAACACTATCACAAGTGTTCACTCCTACAACACTGTACACAAGTGTTCACTACCTACAACACTGTACACAAGTTTCACTCCTACAACACTGTACACAAGTGTTCACTCCTACAACACTGTACACAAGTGTTCTCTACAACACTGACACAAGTGTTTATCCTACAACACTGTACACAAGTGTTCACTCCTACAACACTGTACACAAGTGTTCTTACTACAAAACTGTACACAAGTGTTCACTCTACAACACTATACACAAGTGTTCACTCCTACAACACTGTACACAAGTGTTCCCACTCCTACAACACTGTACACAAGTGTTCACTACTACAACACTGTACACAAGAGTTTCACTCCTCCAACACTGGGATTTTTACACAAGTGTTCACAGCTCCTACAACACTGTACACAAGTGTTTCACTCCTACCACCCTGTACCCAAGTGTTCACAACTACAACACTAAGCCCAAGATGTTCACTACAAACACTGTCACAAGTGTTTCACTACTACAACACTATACACAATGGTTCACGTCCTACAACACAGTCAACAAGTGTTCACTCCTACAACACTGTACACAATGTGTTCCCCTCCTACAAAACACAGTACCCCAAGGTTCACTTCCTACAACACCTATACACAGTGATCACGGGTCCTACAACACTGTACACAATCTGTTCACTTCTACAACACTGTACACAAGACTTCACCTCCTACAAACACTGTACAACAAGTGTTCACACTATCCTAACAACACTGACACAACAAGTGTTCACTCTCCTACAATCACTGTACACAAGTGTTCACTCCTACAACCACAGTACACAAGTGTTTCACTCCTACAACACATGTACACAAGTGTTCACACCTGAAGTCCTACAACACTGTACACAAGTGTTACACCCTCCTATCAACACTAGTACACAAGTGATTCACTCCTACAACATATACACAAGTGTTCACTTCCTACAACACTGTACACAAGTGTTCACTTCCTACAACACTTGAACACAACAAGTGTTCCCTACAACAACACTGTACACAAGTGATATCACTCCTACAACCACTAACACAAGTGTTCCCCCTCCAATCCTACAACACTGTACACCAAGTGTTCCACTCCTACAAACACTGTATCACAAGTGTTCACTCCTAAAAACACTGTACACAAGTGTTCACTCCTACAACACTATAACACAAGTGTTCACTAACCTACAACACTGTCCACAAGTGTTTCACTACTACAACACGTACACAAGGATCACTCCTACAACAACTGTACACCCAATTGTTCACTCTACACCACTGAACACAAGCTTCACTCCTACAACACTGTACACACAAGTGTTCACTTCCTACAACACTGACACAAGTAGTTTACTCCTACTAAAACACTGTACAACAAGTGTTCACGTTCCACAACACTGATACCAAGTTTTCACTACAACAACACTATACACAAGTGTTTCACACTACCAACACAGTAACACAAGTGTTCACTCCTACAACACTGTACACAAGTGTTCACATCCTCCAAAACACTATACACAAGTGTTCATCGTCCTACAACACTAAACACAATTGTCACTCCTACACCACCTGTACACAAGTGTTTTCACTCCTATCAACCTGTACAACAAGTGTACACTCCTACCACACTAATACACAATTGTTCACTTCCTACAACACAGTACACAAGTGTTCACCTCCCTACAAACACTATAACAACCAAGTGTTCCACTCCTACAACACTGTACACAAGTTTCACATCCTACAACACTATACAACAAGTGTTCACTACTATTACAACACTGTACACAAGTGTTCACTACTTACAACCCCCCCACTGTACACAAGTTTTCACTACTACAACACTGTACACAAGTGTTTTCAACTAGCTACAACACTGTACACAAGTTCACTACTACAACAAACCTGTACACAAGTGTTCACTTACTACAACACTGACTCAAGTGTCACATACTTTACAACCACGTACACAAGATGTTCACTCCTACAACACTGTACACAACTGTTTCACTCCTAAACACTGTACACAAGTGTCACCTTCCTACTACACTGTATACACAAGAGTTCACTTCCTACAACACTGTACACCAAGTTTCACCTCACAACAACCTGTACACAAGTGTTCACTACAACAACACTGTACAACTAGGTTCACCTCCAACAACACTAGTAACACAAGTGGGTTTCTCGTTCCTACAACACTGTAACAAAGTGTTTATTTCACTTACCTACAACACAGACACAAGTGTTCACTCCTACAACCACTGTACACAAGTGATCACTACTAAACACTGTTACACAAGTTTCACTCCTAAAAAGGGGACAACACTGTACCCAAGTGTTCACCTCCTACAACACTGTACACAAGTGTTCACTCCTACAACACTGTACACAAGTGTTTCACTCCTACAACACTATACACAAGTGTTCACTACAACACTATACACAAAGTGTTCACTCCTACAACACAATAGCACAAAGTTGTTCACTCCTACAACACTATACACTAGTTTTCCACAAATCCTACAAACACTATACCACAAGTGTTCCACTGTCCTACAAACACTGTACACAAGTGATTCACTACTACAACACTGTACACAATTTTTCCATCCTAACAAGCACTGTACACAAGTACTTCTGAGAGTCTGACACAGACAGATGTTGTAAGTAGCCAGACTTAGTCTTGGTTACAAGTACTTCTTAACAAGAGGCACTGGACTTACCTACTCTAGTAGCTCCTCTCAACAGTAACATTGTGTGCCATATTACGTGTGTAACAAACCATAAAATAGTACCAAGGTACATCTCCTTCAGGTAATATCTCACTATGCCGACCTGGTTAGCTACCAAGGAACCATGAACGTCTCTTCTGCCCTGGTGGATACTATCAGTAATATGTATGCATGTTACAGGCCATGTATCATCACTGACCCTGATGGATCAAGGTAAAGTAACCAGCTGTACCAGCTGTACCGCTGTTACTACAGGCCAGTATCATACACTTCCTGATGTCAAGGTAATGTACCCAGCTGTACCAGCTGTTACGGCCAGTATCATCACTGACCATGATTTATCAAGGAGTAATGTACCACTGTACCAGATGTTACTTGCCAGGTAATCATCACTGCCCTATGTCAAGGGTAATGTACCATCCTGTACCCCACTGTTACTTGGCCAGGTACCAGCTGTTACCTGGCCAGGTATCATCACAGTCCAGTTCAAGGTAATTACCAGCTGTAACCAGCTGTTACTGGCCCAGGTATCACCAACTGTCCTGATGTCCACTATATCTGAATGTACCAGCAGTACCACAGTTACAGGCCAGGGTATCAACCACTGTCCTGATGTTCCCTGAAGTCAATGGTAATGTACCACAGATACCAGCGTTACCTCTGGCCAGGTATCATCAACTGTCCTGATTCAAGGTAATGACCAGCTGAACCAGCTGTTACTGGCGTCACTATCATCACTGTCCAGATGTGCAAGGTAATGTACCCAGTCAGTAACCAGCTGTTTCTACTGGCCAGGTATCATCACTGTCCTGATGTCAAGGTAATGTGACCAGCTGTTACTGGCCAGGTATCATCACTGTCCTGATGTCAAGGTATATGTACCCTAGACTGTACCACTGTTACTACAGGCCAGTACATCACTGTCCTGATGTCAAGGTAATGTACCAGCTGTACGCCGCTGTTACTGCCAGGTATGGCATCACAGGTCCTGATGCAAGGTAATGTACCACTGTACCAGCTGTTACTGGCCAGGTATCATCACGTCCTGATGTCGGTAATGTACCAGCCTGTACCAGCGTTACTGGCCATTAATCAACACTGCCTGATGTCAAGGTAATGTACCAGCTGTACCACTGTACCAGCTGTTACTGGCCAGGTAACATCACTCGTCCTGATGTCAAGGTAATTACCGAGCTGTACCAGCTGTTACAGGCCAGGTATCATTCACTGTCCCTGCTGTCAAGGTAAATGTTACCAGCCTGTACCCATGCTGTTACTGACCAGGTAACATCACTGTCCTGAATGTCAAGGTAAAGCACCGCTGTACCAGCGGTACTGCCAGGTACCTTAGCTTTACTAGGCCAGTAACCATCTGTTACTGGCCAGTACCAGCTGTTACTGGACCAGGTTACCAGCTGTTACTGGCCAGGTACCAGCTGTTACTGGCCAGGTACCCAGCTGTTACTGTGCCAAGTAACCAGCTGTTTCTGGCCAGGTACCAGCTGTTTACTGGCCAGGTACCACCTGTTACTGCCTACTGGCCAGGTATAATCAACACTGTCCTGTGTGTCCAAGGTAATGTACCAGCTGTTACCAACTGTAGGCCAGGCAGGTAACCAGCTGTTACTGGCCAGGTATTATCACTGACCTGATGTCAAGGAAAAGAACCACTGTACCAGCTGTTACTGGCCAGGTACCAGCGTTTTTCTGGCAAGGTATCATCACAGACCTGATGTCAAGGTTAATGTACCAGCTGAACCAACTGTAGCTTGCAGTACCAGCTGTTACTGTCCAGGTATTATCAACTGTCCAGAAGTCAAGGTAATGACCAGCTTGTACCAGCTGTTACTGGCCATACCAGCTAATACAGGCCAGGAACCAACCTGTTTTCGCCCTTGTAAAAACAATCTCTTTAGTCAAAGTAACGTAAGATAAAAATAAGATAAGATTTCGTTGGGATTTTTAAACCCCGGAGGGTTAGCCCCCAGGATAAACCCCGGAGGGGGTTAAAAGCCACCCAGGATAACCCCCGTGGAGTTGGTTAGCCACCCATGATAACCCCGGAGGGTTAACCACCCAGGATAACCCCGTAGGGTTAGCCACCCAGATAACCCCGGAGGGTTAGCCACCCAGGATAACCCCGGAGGGTTAGCCACCCAAGGATAACCCCGAGGGTTAGCCCACCCAGGAATAACCCCCGAGGGTTATCCACCCAGGATAACCCAAGAAAGTCCAGTGCGTCAATCGAGGACTGTCTAACTTATTTCCGTTGTGTTCCCTTAATCTTGTTCCCCGGATGCCACCCACACCAGACCACTAACACCCAGGGAAGGTGACCCACACCAGTCCACTAACCAATCCAGGATGCCACACCCCACAACCAGTCGACTAACCACCAGGATGCGCCCCACACCAGTCCACTAACACCCAGGATGCGCCCCCACACCATCCCACTAACCACCCAGGATGTGACCCACACCATCCAATAACACCCAGTGATGCCCCCCACAAACCATTCCACAAACACCCAGGATGCGACCCACCACCAGTCCACTAACACCCAGGATGCAACCCACACCAGTCCACTAACACCTCAGATGCTACCCACACCAGTCCACTAACACCCAGGATGCCACCCACACAGTCCACTAAACACCCCAGGATGCCACCCCAACCAGTAACACTAACACCCAGGAATGTGACCCACACCAGTCCACTACCACCCAGGATGTGACCCACACCATCCACTAACAACCCAGGATGCCACCCACAGCCAGTCCACTAACAACCAGGATGTTGACCACACACCAGTCCACTAACCACCCTGGATGCCACCCACACCAGTCCACTATCACCCCAGGATGCCACCCACACAGTCCACTAACACCCAGGATGCCACCCACGCCAGTCCACTAACACCCAGGATTGCCACCCTCAAACCAGTCCACTCACACCCCAGTATGTGCCCCACAACAAGTCGACTAACACCCAGGATGCCACCTCACACACCAGTCCACTAACACCCAGATGCCCCACTACCATTCCACTAACACCACCTCAGATGCCACCACCCACCAGTCCACTAACAACCAGGATTGACCCACACCAGTCGACCTAACACCCAGGATGCCACCCACACCATCCACTAACACCCAGGATGTGACCCACAACCAGGTCCACTAACAACCCAGATTGACCCACAGAACCAGTCCACTAACACCCAGGATGCCAACCCACAACCATCCACTAACACCGCCAGGATGCCACCCACACAGTCCCCCCACTAACACCCAGGAAATGCCACCCACGAAACCAGTCCACTAACACCCAGGATGCCACCCACAACCCAGTCCCACTAACCCCAGGAATGCCACCCACACCTTCCACTAACACCCAGATGGCCACACCAAACCATTCCACTAACACCCAGGATGCCACCCACACCAGTCCCCTAACACCCAGGATGTGACCCCACCACAGTCCACTAACACCCAGGATTCCACCCACACCATCCACTCTCACCAAGATGTGACACACAACCAGTCCACTAACACCCAGGATGAGACCCACACCATCCACTAACAACTCCAGGATCCACACCCACACCAGTCCACTACACCCAGGAGTGGCCACCCATCAACCATCCACTAACACCCAGATGCCACCCAACACCATTTCCACTAACCACCCGGATGCCACCCACACCAGTCCACTTACACCAGGATGCCACCACTACCAGTCCACTAACACACCCAGGATGTGACGCCACCCCAGTTCCACTTAACACACCCAGATGGTGACCCCACCAGTCCACAACACCCAGGATGGCCACCCAACACCAGTCGACTAACACCCAGATGCCACCCCACACCAGTCCACTAACACCCAGGATGTGACCCACACCAGTCCAATAACACCCAGGAAGTGAACCCACAACCAGGTCCACATAACACCCAGGATGCCCACCCACGCACAGTCGACTAACACCCCTATGCCCACCACAACAATCCACTAAACACCCAGCTGCCACCCACACCAGTCCACTAACACCCATGATGCCACCCACACCAGTCCACTAACACCCAGGAATGCCACCCAACACCAGTCCACAACACCCAGGATGCCACCCACACCAGTTCCACTAACACCCAGGATGCCCACCCACACCAGGTCCCACTAACACCCAAATGGCGCACCCACACCAGTCCACTAACAACCAGGATGCCCCCACACCATCCACAAACACCCAGGATTGACCCACACCAGTCCACTAACACCCAGGATGCCGCCACCCACACCCAGTCCACCTAACACACCCAGTATGTGACCCACACCCAGTCCACTAACACCCAGGATGTGGACCCACACCAGTCCACTAACACCCATTGATGTGACCCACACCAGTCCACAACACCCAGGAAGCCGACCCACCACACCAGTCCACTGACCCCAGAATGTGACCCACACCAGTCCACTAACACCCAGGATGCCACCCACACCAGTCCACTAACACCAAGGAGTGGACCCACAAAAAAACCAGTCACTAACACCCAGGATTCCCACCCACACCAGTCCCCTAACACCCAGTATGCCACCCACCCAGTCCCTAAACACCCAGGATTCCACCCACACCCGTCCACTAACACCCAGGATGGTACCCACAACCATTCCACTAACACCCAGGATGCCACCCACACCATCCACTAACACCCAGTATGCCACCCACACCAGTCCACTAACACCCAGGATGCCACCCACACCAGTCCACTAACACCCAGGATGTGGCCCACACCAGTCGACTAACACCCAGTATGCCACCCACACCAGTCCACTAACACCCAGGATGCCACCCACTATCTCAGATCCACTACACCCAAGGATGCCACTCCCTCACCATCCACTAACACCCAGGATTGAACCCATCACCAGTCCAACTAACAACCCAGGATGCCACCCCACAAACCAGTCCACTAACACCCAGATGCCACCCACACCAGTCCACTAACACCCAGGTGATGCCACCCACACCAAGTCCACTAACAACCATGATGTGACCCACACCAGTCCACTAACACCCAGGATGGTGACCCACAACATTCCATAACAGACCCAGATGTGCCCACCAACCGAGTCCACAACACCCAGGATGTGACCCACACCAGATCCGACTAACACCACAGGATTGTGACCCACACCAGTTCCACATAACCACCCTGGATGGTGACCCCCCAGTCCCCTAACACCCAGGAATGTGACACCACACCATGCCACAAACACCCAGATGTGACCCACCACCAGTCCACTCACACCCAGGATGAGACCCACACCAGTCGACAACACCCAGATGTGCCACCCCACACCAGTCCACTAACACCCAGGAGTGTGACCCACACCAGTCCACTAACACCTTCAGATGTGACCCACACCAGTCCACAAACACCCAGGATTTGACCTACACACCAGTCCACTAAAACACTCAGGAAGCCACCCACACCCATCCACTATAACACCAGGATGGGCCACCCACACCAGTCCCTAACACTCAGGATGCCACCCCACCACCAAGTCCACTAACACCCAGGAGTCCACCCACACACAGTCCCACAACCCACCCAGGTCTTCTCACGCTGCACAACCAGTCCACTAACACCCAGTGATGCCCCACACAAGTCCACTAACACCCAGGAATGGCCACCGCACACCAGTCCACTAAAACACCCATGGATGCCACCCACACCATCCACTAACACCCAGGATGCCACCCACACCAGTCCAATACCACCCAGGATGTGACCCACAACCAGTCCACTAACACCCAGGATGCCAGCCCCACACACCAGTCCACTAACACCCAGAATGTCACCCACACCAGTCCCACAACACCCGGATTCCACCCACACCAGTCCCCTACACCAGTATGTCACCACACCAGACCACTAAACACCCAGATGCCACCCCACACCAAGTCCCCTAAACGAACCCCGGATGCCAACCGCAC